GCTGGCTGCATATTGTAAAACGCTGAACCTTCAATACTTAGTTATGTTAGATATACCGTGCTGTCATGGATTGTATATATGTGTCTTTATTTATTTTCAACATTTAGTGAGCCCTACTCCTACCTTATACTCATGCATTGTGTATGTGCTTGCCGATACAAACTAAGGCGGACGCCGGAAGCGCAGACGTGATCATGGTGATGAGGTTTCGGATTCGTTCGACCACACCCACATAAACAGTGGGGGTAATTTCACAGGGAATGGGGCAGGCCTGTGGCAGACTATTTGGGTCGACCCCTATCTGCTGCCTAGCAACGCGAGTATCATGGCGACGAGCAACATGGTGCTGGATGAGGAAACAGGCGAGATAGATACGGTAGGTGCGGCAAAGGAAGGTGCCAACCGAACCCCTCATACCCTAAAACCCTCAAACCCTATAATCACGATTCCTAATACCCTAAACCCTACAACCCTACGACCCTAAACCTCTGAATTCCAAATTGAAGGGCTCATGTTGACACCATCACTTTGGATAAGCTATTGCATTCCATCGACTCGACTGCGAGTGGCGAACTGTACAGTCTAGCAACTACTTCATACGAGCTGTACAGTCTAGCAAGTACTTCTTATGAGCTATACAGTCTAGCAAGTACTTCCATTGAGCTGTACAGTCTAGCAAGTACTTCTTACGAGCTGTACAGTCTAGCAAGTACTTCTTATGAGCTGTACAGTCTCGCAAGTACTTCCTATGAGCTGTACAGTCTATCACCTACTTCTTATGAGCTGTACAGTCTAGCAAGTACTTCTTATGAGCTGTACAGTCTATCAACTACTTCTTATAAGCTGTACAGTTTAGCGACTACTTCTTATGAGCTGTACAGTCTAGCAACTACTTCCACTGAGCTGTACAGTCTATTAACTACTTCTTATGAGCTGCACAGTCTAACAAGTACTTCTTATGAGCTGTACAGTCTAGCAACTACTTCTGATGAGCTGTACAGTCTAGCAACTACTTCTTATGAGCTGTACAGTCTATCGACTACTTCATACGAGCATCCGTGCGACAACTACAGACGTATGCTTGTAATGAGGAATGTATTGGGTGGATTGTGTAGTGTTGACACTGAGCTATAACATTGGTAGTTCTGTACATAGCCCTGAATGATGCAACACTGCCGCACCCCCATAATCAACAACACCTGCAATCTCTAAAACCCTAAACCCAAACACTAAAACCCTAAAACCCTATGTCAGAACATACACACTAACCCACATCACCACACTAGATCAAACGCACGTGTAACACGCAACAGAACTCCACATGAAGACCTGTGTGATCTGTTAATACTCACTCACATAGTATGACCACAAACTTATGTATCCTATCCCATTGGGATGCCAATCTGGCGCTCACACACTATACTGCCTACCTACGCACACATTGTGATTTGACCCGGCGCTCTCATACCCCATTTCGCTGCGGATGTATATGTATATCGCTAACCATCTGATTACATCCCACTCCTTTATATATATATATATATATATGCGTGTGTGTATATGCTCATCTGAAGGCGATAGTGGTGGGGTTGTTTACGCGAGACCTGTTCAACCCAGCGAGTGATGTGCAGGGTGTGCTGCACAGTGCTTGCATCAATTTTGAAGGCATCATCCTGGACGACCAGACAGCCCATCTCACGGGCGATAAGTACGTTGTGGCTTGTGTATGTTGTGTGTGTGTTGTGTGTTGTGTATATATTGTGTGTTGTGTGTATGTTGTGTGTTGTGTGTTATGTGTATATTGTGTGTGTGCTGTGTGTTGTGCGTTTTGTGTGTGTGCCGTGGGATTTGTGTATGCTGTGTGTGTGTTGTGTGTTATGTGTATGTTGTGTGTCTTATATATTGTGTGTGTTGGTTGAGTCATGTCTGTGTATTCTGTGTGTTGTGTGTATTGTTTGTCTTTGTTGAGTGAGTGAGTGTGTTGTGTGTATTGTTTGTCTTTGTTGAGTGAGTGAGTGTGTTGTGTGTATTGTTTGTCTTTGTTGAGTGTGTGTGTGTGTTGTGTGTATTGTTTGTCTTTGTTGAGTGTGTGTGTGTTGTGTGTGTTTTGTTTGTCTTTGTTGAGTTTGTGTGCGTGTTTGCCTTTTGGCGTTACTACACGCCTAGGTTTAAATGTGTAATCTTGTGATTTAGATATATATATTTGAATAGTTGGTTCAGTATTTGCCTTCTCGTCACAGCCACATACCACATACACACACGGACATTCGTGTCTTTGTCGCCGTTTCGTCGTAAATTAAAATCCCTAAACCCTAACACGCATGGAATTATTACATTTTAAAGTATTATTAAAACAAGCCAAAACGTCCCTAAATCTTACCCATTGCAGTGATTCTGGGTTGTCAGTTTTGCTTGAACAGGAACTCGACAGAAGCCTTTTACGACAACGGGTAGGTCAGTGGTGTAAGCGAAGTACACAACATGCTTACTATAGATATATATACCATCTATAGATATATATATATATACCATCTATAGACATATTCATACCATACTATATATATATATATATATATATACCACGACATACCATGTATAAAGCTGTAGATATATACATACCATCTATAGTATAGATATATATCGATGTATACATGCCATCCATAGATATATACATACCATATATGGATATATACATACCATATATAGCTATATGCACACCATCTATATATATATGCATAACATCCATAAATATATACATACTACCTATAGATGTATACATGTCATTTATATATACATATTTACATATATATACTATTTATGCATTGATATGCATAAAATCTACAGATGTATATTTTATATACATGTCATCTATACATATCTATATTGATATTAGTATAGTCTATTGGAATAGGAGTACCGTTATCTGCGCTCTTATTAGTGCTGCATCGAGATTTACAAACGGCTTATGTGCTGCACCGTATCCAAGACATCTCCCGCCTGTCAACCGTCCCAGGTCTTTCTTACACGGACACGCTCACACGTACACATCACCACACAGAGGTACGACGGCACCCACCCAGAGGAAGCACCCGCAGGCGACTCAGGGGTCATGCGCAGTATCGGACGGTACTATGCACAGAGTGAGAACGTGCTACTGCGCACTATCATCACCAAGGTGTTGGATGCGTATGGCGACCTAGGCACTCTGGACCACACACAGCTTCACAGCGTCAAGGTCGACGGCACAACCTACTTCGCACGCACGGGTGAGTGGCTGGGGCGGCAGGTCTTGGGGTTTGGGGGTTTAGTCCTCAAGTGGAGTGTTCCCTTTAGTTTCGCCTTAAAACTTGGTTTGATTTACCCGCGTGTAAAACTTGGTTATTTCCAGTTTAAACCTTTTCACCTCTTGGTGGCATGTAAAGTTGTGCCCGTTCTGACACGCGTTGTGCGGTTTATCTCACCACAGCGGAGGCGTCGTATGAGGAGATCATGTACAACGGCACCGTGCGCGCTGCGAAGTTCATTCAGCTTGTGTATGTGAGTCAACAGATCATCTCGGCGCAGACGCTCGCTGGTAAGTGCATGTGCCATGTACACTATGTGTGTGTGCATGTGTGGTATTTGCGTGTGTGTTCATGCGTGGTGTGTGTGTGTGCGTGTGTGCATGTGTATGCTTAATGTATGTACGTAGTTACTTGTATATTCGGGTTTTGTGTGTATATAGCTCATACAAATGTGTGCATATATACGTGTGGTTGGATTATGTGCACATACATAGTTCATATAAGTGTGCATATATACATGGCTTTGGGATTTGTGCACATACATAACTCTTGTAAAGTATATATATATACGTATGTGAAGCATATGGATGGCTGTGGTGTGGTAGAGTGCTGCTCACCAAGTTCAATTATGAACACGAATGTGTGCATAAATCACACCCACTTGTACCTAGCACACATTCGTATGCGTCATCTTACATCACTTGTTATTAAACACCGCTTATTATTAAATAATCACCATTAACTCACGCATATGCCACACACTCACTCCATAGACCGAGACAGGTACATATTGCTGATGTGGGTGGCTGTGTTTGTGATCATCCTTGCGGCGTGTGCCTTGGCTATTGCGGTGACCATTCCATTGGGCCATCAGAGTAGAGCCCTCGAGCTTCTAGCGCTCATGATGGTATGCAACAGTTGTGTGCACAGAAACATTATACTATGTTACCATGCTAGCATATTACCATGGTAGCATGTTACCATGTGTTGGTATGTTAGTAGAGATGTATGTACCACTGTGTATCTGTATTACAACTGTCCACTAACCTTTATATGTTCTATTCCCCGTCTTTTGTCTGTTATACTTGTGCATTAATATCTTACCCAATGCTCTTCGTTTTATTTGTTTTTTTAATTGACAGGATCCGGCCATGGTGACTGTGCCCATTGACTCTAATTTCTGGGAAGTGCGACGGCTGCAGATGAGTCTCAAAGGGTTTGGTAAGTCATCCAAACTAACCCCTAAAACAAAAACTAAACCCTATAACAAAAACTAAACCCTAAAACAAAAACTAAACCCTATAACAAAAACTAAACCCTAAAACAAAAACTAAACCCTAAAACAAAACTAACCCCTAAAACAAAAACTAAACCCTAAAACAAAAACTAGACCCTAAAACAAAAACTATCCCCCAAAACAAAAACTAAACCCTATAACAAAAACTAAACCCTATAACAAACCCTAAACCCTAAACCCAAGTGATCACAAAGCAGTCCATAGAAAATCCGAACAAATATTTGCGGAGATTTGATATGAGTGTAGTATGTGTGTATATATATCTGTGTCTGTCCAGGGTTTTTTCCGGCCGTTGTCAACTTCTGTGGTTTTTTTGGAGTGTAGTCCGTATTTTGTTCCTCAAGCACACCACATATATATGTAACCCTAGAACTACAAAACCTTAAACCCTATACCCTAAGCCCGTCATCGGATATAGTCTATATGAATCTAGAGTTCCATCTGTTGCATTGCTATGTCCACTTCCTTGTTTGTTATAGCGTCTTTAGTCTCATCTGGCCCTATCGCAGGTGTGCGTGTTGAACTTGAACACACATATAACAAATACGACACACAAACGAGATATATACGACACACATAACACACATACGACACATATACGACATATATACGACACACACAGGACATATATACGACACACATAACACACATGCGACACACATACGACATATATACGACACACACAGGACATATATACGACAAACATAACACACTTAATACACACATAGACATAAATACGACACACATAACACACTTACGTCATATATACAACACATACGACATATATACGACACACATAACACACATACGACACACATACGACATACATACGACACACATACGACATATATACGACACACACAGGACATATATACGACAAACATAACACACATACGACACACATACGATATATATTCGACACACACAAGACATATATACCACACAGTGTGTCGTATATATGTCCTGTGTGTGTCGTATATATATCGTATGTGTGTTATGTGTGTCTTATATATGTCCTGTGTGCGTCGTATATATGTCGTATGTGTGTCGAATGTGTGTTATGTGTGTCGTATATATGTCCTGTGTGTGTCGTATATATGTCCTGTGTGTGTCGTATATATGTCCTGTGTGTGTGGTATATACGACACAAACAGGACATATATACGACACAATACGACATTTATACGACACACATACGACATACATACGACACACGTACGACATATATACGACACACACAGGACATATATACGACACACATAACACACATACGACACACATACGACATATATACGACACACACGGGACATATATACGACACAAATATCAGACATACGACACACATACGACATATATACGACACACACAGGACATATATACGACACACATAACACACATACGACACACTTACGTCATATATACGACACACACAGGACATATATACGACACACATAACACATATACGACACACATACGACATATATACGACACACATAACATACATACGACACACATACAGCATATATACGACATACATACGACATATATACGAAATATATACGACACACACAGAACATATATACGACACAAATACGACATATATACGACACACATACGACATATATACGACACACATAACATACATACGACACACATACAACATATATACGACATACATACGACACACATACGACACACTTACGTCATATATACGACACACACAGGACATATATACGACACACATAACACATATACGACACACATACGACATACATACGACACACATAACATACATACGACACACATACAACATATATACGACATACATACGACATATATACGACACACATACGAAATATATACGACACACACAAACATATATACGACACAAATACGACATATATACGACACACATACGACATACATACGACACACACAGGACATGTATACGACACACATACGATACACACGCCATAAATCCTCACAACCGCTCAGTACGACGAACATACGCCGAATTGTTGTTTGGTCTGTCCAGCTCGTCAGCCCATGTCACTTGCATCTGGAAGCTCGTGCATGGGAATTGTCGCACTCGTGTGTATGCATGTGTGCACACACATATTAACACACACTCATGTATATACCCATATACTCACGCATGTATATACATAAACATGCACACGTACAAACGAACAAGCAATCGCATAAGTATATACACACACAACTCATACCCATGCATATCTCTCGTATATATGATACCGTTGTGGCTCGTCTCGTCTGCAGTGGACAACTATCGGTTGTACAGTACAATCAAAGCCTCCCTTCTGCTTGTGCTGGAGGACGGCACCATTGCTTACGCCAACAACCACTTCTACAAGTCCTTCGAAGTGGAAGACCACGACGAGGTGGGTGTGTATGGAATGGCATGCCGATGCGAATGTGTATATCCATTGTGGCCCCTGTCTTCTTCTCTTCTCTTGTGCACCCTGATTCCTCTGGTGTGTGCTTATGAATGCTCGCTCACTCACTTGTTCGTTTAGTGTTTGCTTATGAATTCACTC